GCCCCTCCTGCCAGGATTATCTCATACATATTAAATTCCTTCTGCTTAAGCTATTTGGAGTAGGATTGTTTTTATCACATGCAATAGAGTATCCCGGCTAAGGGTTGAAATGACAAACACCGCAGGTTGAAGAGGACCGTCCCATGCCATGCTCTCTTTTTCCATTTTCAACTCCTAGCATTGTGTTTACTGTGCTCATGCCTGAGGATGGTATTACATCCTCACCTGGGGAGGGGCTCCTGGCAGCCTCTTTAGGTCTTCCGTAGCAGACTTCTGTCCTGGTGAGAAGTCAATGTATTGCTGTCATTTTAATTTTATTCTAATTAATAGTAATCATGATGCACCTCTGCACACTAGGAGATCAGGGGAAGGCTTGTTCTTTCCAGTTGTGGAGAAACTCTCTTATGGACCCCATAGTGACAGTGGCATGCTATTGTTCAAGGGTTTATCCTCCCAAATCCTCCTGTGTGTTTTAATTAATTTGGTCACTCTACATGAGCCAATTAAAAAGGATGGAATTATTGAAAGGTGCAAACAGAAGATAGAAAAGCTATCACTGTACATCCATGTCTGAGCAGGATATTCTCCCAGGATGGTACAATGTGTGCCCCACTACTACCCTGTGATCATGGGGGAGTACATCCTAACGGGCCCAAAACTATGAGGAATACCAAATTTAAACATAAGTTTGAAAAACTTTTGCATCTTAAATACTTCCTGTAAACTGTGACCAGAACTTTTGCTGTTTCAGGTACAACAGCAAAATCAGCCTCCTAATTAGCAAATAACAGTGACAACTGACACAGGAGGCCTCAGGACACTTGAAAGCTTCCACATAGCCAAGGAAACAGTTCATGGAGTGAAGGGACAGTTTACAGAATGAGGTCAAAGTTTTTGCTAGCTTTATATCTGATTGAGGGTCAGTATCTAGAATATACAAAGAATTTAGAAAACCAAAAAACAAGAAATCAAGCAACCCAATCAACGAACAGGCTAATGAAATGAACAGGAAGTTTCCAAAAGATGAAATGGCAAATGGCCAATAAACAGCCACTGAGACCTAACCATGGGCAAATAAGAAGCATGAATGGTCCCTTTTCTGGTCACACTCTACACACACAAAACATACACACACACACACACACACACACACACACACACACACAGGTAAGGTTTTCTGTCTGCCAGCTGGCTCCCAAATAACCACACAGAGACTTATTATTAATTATAAATGATCGGCCGATAGCTTAGGCTTTTTACTAACTAGCTCTTACAACTTAAATTAACCCATATTTCTTATCTACATTTTACCTTTTGTCAGCACAACACACTCATCTCCTGCTTCCTTTGCATCTGGCTGGTAACTCTCATGACCCCTCCCTTGTTCTTCAGATCATCCTCTCAGTCTGGGTCTCCCACCTAACCTTTTCGTGCCTAGCTATTGTCCTGTCAGCTCTTTATTAAGCCAATGAGAATAACATATTCACAGTGTACAAAGAGGATTATTCCACAGCACACTCGAACATGTGTACGCGCGCGCACACACACACACACACACACACACACACGCATGCATATTTGATCTCCATATAAAAAAGATGTGCAATGTTTGTCTGAGTTACTTCACTTAGCATAATAATTTCCAATTCCATCCACTTTTCTGTAAATCCCATGATTCATTTCTTTATGGCTGAATAAAATTTCATTGTGAATGTGTACCACACTTTAAAATCTTCCATTAGTGGGCATCTAGGCTAGTTCCATTCTTAGCTATTATGAATAATGCAGCAGTAAACATGGATGTGCAAATATATCTATAATGAGATTTACATAAAGACCCCAAATATCTAAAGCAATCCTAAGCAAAACACCAACACCAAGGTATCACAACTCCTGACCTCAGATTTTGCTACAGAGCCATAGGTGCAAAGATGGTGTGGTACTAGTAGGAAAACAGACATATTTACCCATGGAATGGAATAGAAGGACCAGAAATAAACCCATACAGCTACATTAGTCTGGATTTTGATAGAAATTTCAAAAACTACATAGGAAAGATAACAGCATTGATTATAATTTTTTTCTTTCTTTCTTTTTTTGTTTTGTTTTTTGGAGACTCCACCTCCATCCTCCTCTTGGGTTCTCATCCTGCCACTCTGTATCCTTGGGTTGATTTAATGAGGTTGTAGCAATTCCAGCCCAAGTGAATTGCCCTCACCTCCCTGGGGTCTACAACACTCATCTAACTCCACCTGTCCTTGCTTGATCTGCCCATCACACCTCAACACTGACAAGGTTTTTCTGGTTTGAAGAATGTATGAAGCTAAGGTTTTTGTCTAACCTGTTTGTTTCTCAGCTCCCTCCAACATCCAAAGTCGTTTTAGAATGTCTTGATAAGATAAATAAGGAATTATAAGCTTCTGATAAAAGTTTTTCATTGTAATTATTAAAGAGTCATGAGCTGGGAGAGGGAGTATGCGCCTGTAATCCCAGCATTCAGGAAACTAAGGCTGCAGGATCACAAGTTCAAGGCCGGCCTAGGAAACACAGAAAGAGCTTGTCTCAAAAAAAAAAAAATCACAAATACAAAAATCACATTAATGAAATATACATTAAAAACAATAAAAAGGAATAATAAAATCAATAGGCACCCTAACACCAAGAAGCCATGTATATAGTTGACATGCCGCTCAGTGGCAGAGAGTTATTAGCATATGCAAGGCCCTGAGGTCAATCCCTAGAATCACACACAAAGCAAATTGCAATAAAAAATAATGTGATTATGTCAAAGTCAATTAGTAATTCATCAAGGGGAAGAGAAGGAATATAGTTCAATTAGATACAATGATACATTGTTGGATTACTTGATAATACAATTAATAAGTGAATCATAAGATACATTGTAAGAGATTTAACTTTTTGCTGATTTGACATCAAATAGTGACATCAATGAAGAGAACATAAAATTCGTAATATACCATGAAAATGAGGACATGAATGTCATCAATTCAAGGAATATTTAAAATAGAAATTCACAGGAAAATCACAAATGCCCTGAAAGCTTACAGCTTGTCTACACAAAAGACCTGACAGGGTTTGCCGGCCTGACGAGAAGTGTCTTCCCTGCATCACCATTCACAGTCTGTGAAGCCAAAAGATGATGTTTTTAACTAGACAACCTAGACAAAACACTAAAACACCCCAAAGTTGCTATCTTATAAAAGCACAAGCAGTCAAGCATGGTGCACAGTATAATCCCAGCACACAGAGGCAGAGGCAGGAGGCTCTCGAGTTCAAGACCAGCCAGGGCTACACAGCAAGACTCTATCGCAAAAGACTAAAAAGTAGAAATACACCCAATGGAGAAAGGTTGACCAATGGATTGCTATGTCAGAGTTTGACCAATGGATTGCGAAATTAGAGTTTAAGTCCCTCAACATTGTAACTAAGCCACAGTTGGTAGCAAGAAGTTCAGGTGTGCTATCACGCAGTAGGGTGACCATAACAACAATAATATACTATGCTGTGATGACATTATAACAACACCATACTATACATTTTCAAAACTAGAAGAGAGGAGTTTGAAAGTGTTCATCATAAAAATAGTATTCTTGCTGGGTGGTGGTGGCGGCGGCGGCGGCGGCGGCGGCAGCAGCAGCGGCGCATGCCTTTAATCCCAGCACTTGGGAGGCAGAGGCAGGTGGATCTCTGTGAGTTTGAGGCCAGCCTGGGCTACAGAGTGAGTTCCAGGAAAGGCACAAAGCTACACGGAGAAACCTGTTTCGAAAAACCAAAAAAAAAAAAAAAAAATGGGATTCTTGAGGAAACAGGTACAACCTGATTTATATATTATGCATGTTTACAGATACCAAAATTTAACCTTCATGAATATTTTAATTTGAGGGTGTGTGTGTGTGTGTGTGTGTGTGTGTGTGTGTGTGTGTGTGTATTTAATTTAGCGTTAACCTTTAGCCATGCATATATGGGGGTGGGTATGTGAAAATGAGCACAGGTTCCAGAAGGTGTCAGATCTCCTGGAGCTGGAGTTACAAATGATTGTGAGCCACCTAATGTGAGTGCTGGGAACTGAACTCAGGTCCTTAGGAACGTGCTTTTATCAGCTGAGCCACCTCTCCAATCCTACAATTTGGTTTTTGTGTATCAATTAAAGAATAAATTTACGGCCAGCAAGATAGCTCAGCAAATGAAGGTGCTGTAGCTCAAGCTTGGAGACCTAAGTCTGATTGCAGAACCCATGTATAAGAAAATAGACTGTACAAAGTTGTCCTCTGCCCTCCACACACAGGCCACGGCACATGTGTACACACACACACACACACACACACACACACACACACACAACTTGGGGGGGAATATTTTTTTTTTTAATGAATGAATTCAAAGAACAAAATCAAACGTAAGCAGCTATGGTTATGTAAAAAGAAAACAGAAGTACTGATAAGGAATAAATCCCTGGATTATATGATACTCTGCTCAAGAAGGAGGTCTTCAGAGTACATCAGGAAGAGGGGTTGAAACATGGCTCAGTGGAAAAAAATGATTTCCATGCAAGCATGAGGACCTGAGTTTAGACCCCCAGCACCCACGTTTGAAAGCCAGCTGTGGAGGCACACATCTGAAAGCCCACATCTGGGGAGATGGAGGCAGTGGATTTCTGGAGCTAGCCAAATTCATGAGCTCCAGGTTCAAGGGGAGACCCTGTCTTAAAGGTAAAATGGAAAGCAATTGGTGAAGATACCCAATGTAGACCTCTGGTCTCTATACATACATGACACATACATACATGCACACGTACATGAACACACACACAAATGCACATATACACACAAATAATACATTAGAAAGAAATTTAAAATTTTTTGCTGATTTAATATGAAATAGTATCATCAATGAGAATATAATAAAATTCCTAAAATGTCAAAAAATGAGGGCATAAATGCAATCAGTTCAAAGAATAAGATAGAAACTTAAGTACGTAGCTAAAATAATACTATATTTTAATAGGTGATAAATTAAATTGTCATTACGTTATTTCTGTTCTCATCCTAAACATTCACATTCAAAACTAATTTTGCATTATTTTACTTAAAAGGGCCCTCCACTTGTCAAAGTTCAGCTCAACAAACCATCAAGACCCAGTCCCATGTGGTCTTAAGAAAGAGGCTAGCACATACCCAGAACAGGATGATGGTAAGTCATATGTGATTTTTCTCCTTGAAAGTCAATACCATGCACTCACTAGTGTCTGTGAAGTCCATGAAAATCCAGGCCACCCTGAGATTCTAGAACTGTTGTCTTCACTAGATCCCTGATGAACTCACCTTGAACTTGCTAAAGACAGCAGCTGGATCAAACCTAGTTCATGAAGTTCTTTTGAATCATTGTGTTTTTTGTTGTTTTTTTTTTTCAAATGTAAATACTCGGCTGGCATGGCATAAGTCAGCAGAGCAATACAGGGCTGTCCATCCTCACCTGGCAAAAACCACAGCTGGCTGGCAGGGCTCACACACTTGAGAAGTCCTGACACTAATTTCACTAACAGCACACTAATTTCAAGGGTGCTATTTATTTGGACCATGGTCCCCTACTAAGAAAAGGCTCTTTGTTTCTTGAATAAACATTTTATTGGTCCATAGACAAACTAAAATAATTTCCATAGAATTTCCACAGAACACGGTTGTTCTTTGTCTTGTTTTGTTGTTGTTTGTTCTTCCTTGGTCCTTATTTTCCCAGGGGCCATCTTTTATAGTTCATCAAGTTTAAAAGGAAAAGCTTTCCAAAATGGGTACTTCTAACGTTATTTCACTGATGTGTTTTCCATATTAATTCAATTAAACTCAACAAACACTAGTGAAGAGTCTTGAAACGTGGCAGGTGCTACCTCGGACTCAGGTAATACAGAGATGGACGTGGAGTCTGCATCCTACTGTGTCAAGTGAAAGAAGCAGCCAAATGATCAGGTCAAAATGTCGAGAGAAGCCGAGCAGTGGCAGCATATATCTTTAATTCCAGCACTCAGGAGGGAGGGAGGAAGAGGCAGGGAGATCTCTGAGTTCGAGGCCAGCCTGAACTACAAAGTAAGTTCTAGGACAGCCAGGGCTACACAGAGAAACCCTGTCTCAAAAACCAAAAACAAGTATGTAGAGAGAAACAAAGAAGAATTCTTTCTGTCCTGAATTGAACAAGGAAAATGAGGTCTCCTCATGTTTTCTAGACTGTAGGAACTCCACAGAGGATCCCAGGAACTTCTCCTAGAGCTGGCGGAGCAGGAGGAAGGCTCCAGATCTTTCGTGGTCAGTTCAAGCAAAGAGGCTCCTTCTGTTTTATTTCTTGCACATCTGCATTTGATTTCTGTGATGGGTCTTCTTTTTTGACTGGATTTAGAGTGACCTAGGGGGACATACTTCTGGAGATGTCTGTGAGGGAGTTTCAGAAAAGGTTAACTAAAGGGAGATGACCCACCGTAAATGTTGGTACAGCCTCCTTGGGCCCTGGACTGATTGAAAAGGGAGCCAGTGAGCAGAATGCTAGTTCTCGGATCTGCCACTTGACTGTGGACATGATGCAACCAGCTGCCTCATGCTCGAACCGCCGTACCTCCCCTCCATGACAGACAGTATCTGTTCTGAAACCATGAGTCTAAATGAATCCTTGTTTCCTGAAATTGTTTCTGTCTGACTAACACAAGTTCTTTATCAAGAAGTTTCTACTATGATATATTTTGATCTAGGCTTTGAAGGTTATAGAATTTATCTAAGTACACATAACATCTGGAAGCTTAGCCCAGTGGAGTGGTGCAATCCTTCAATCTCAGCACTTAGGAGGCAGAGGCAGGCAGATCTCTGAGTTTGAAGATAACCTGGTCTACGTAGCAAACTACAGGGCAGCCAGAACTACATTGAGAGACCCTGTCTCAAACAAAAACCAAAACAACAAAAATCCCCCAAACCTGTATCTTTAGCTTTAATTTCCATTCTAGCAATGTGCCCCCACATCCATTCCCTCTTCTCCATAGCACCTACTTTAGAACCTTCAAGGGTTCTGTGATGTCTTCTGGGTAGAGTCCAACCTTCAACAAAATTCCTCCTAGTTTTGCTCTGAAGACTTCCTACCACTCATTACCCCACCACCACCCACAGATGCTGAAGAGGAGCAGTTCCAAGTCTGTCTGTTTCTACACTCCAGCGGAGTCACTGACAAGGCTGTTCCAGATCTTTCAAGGATAGTTATGAAGTGAACAACTTTGGAAATTAAGGATAATGTCTCTCCAGATCAGGAGGGGACATTTGTTTGCTTTTGACTTTAGGGAATAGTTGGGCAGGTTTATATGCTATCCATTGCAAACAACTGGAGTTTCCTAAGCATGGAGTTTCTTAATCGTGGCACAGACTCACTTGGTGAGCATCCATCATGGCCACTCTACACAGCAGGCTTTTGAGGGCCAAGGAATAGATGCAATGAGGAGGCTCGTGCTGTTTGTCTTACCATGAGCAACAAAGTCCTACGTCTCTGACTCCGGAAACTCCATGTCTTCTACCAACCCCCACATAAGTGCAACAGGCTAAGGTGTCAGCCTCTGTGTGATGGGAACCTCACACACTTTGTAAGTGTCAGCAGATACTTGAGGCAAGCATGACAAACTGAATCGTGCCTTCATACTAAATGGCTCCAGATCTCAGCCGCTCGGAACAGAGTATGGTTTCTTGCTCATCCTCCACGTCCACCACAGATTCCATTTGTACCACCATCCTCATCCCATGTCACAGTCTGATGAAGTTTCCATCCCCTACACATGGTCAGCGGAAAAAAGCAGAAGTGTCAAAGCACACATAAGCACCAAACCCCTCTGTCTGGAGGTAGAGACTTCCCTTCTGCTCACCATCGTTACCCACATCTAAACTCAGGTCTTCCAGAAAGGACAAGGTTCAGAGAAGAGAGAGAGAAAGTATTGCTAACCACTTTTAGTGAGTACTAGGGCACGTAATATCCATGTAGTGTGTGATGCTTGCTTGTGCCTCTACAGCAAATAGGGAATACCTCCTTCCCAACATGTGCTCTCTCTCTCCTTCCTCCCCCCCCCTCTCTCCACACACCTCTTATGACATGGACAGCCCCTACCTATGTCAAGATGCGTGTGTGTGCAGGTATCCATGGTGCTGGGGACCCAACACGGGGCTCCAGCATGCTAGGCATGTGCAGTGCCAGAATTTCACCCCCAGGTCCTAAACCATTTTCTAATACCTACCTCATATGTTGATTTCTTGAAGCCTTCTTTGATTTCTCACACTGAAAAATATCCTACATCCTTCTACTTTCCCAGCATTTCTATATAATTATAGCAATCATACTTGTTTATGAATCTCTTATAGGTCAAGACCTCTCAGTGACGAAGGATAAAGTGAATAAGACCTTGGTTTTATTAACCTACCTCATACAAATCTGATATCATTCTGCATTTTGATTACAATATTTTCAGCACGAGGTTGGAGAGATGGCTCAGCAGCCAAGATTACTGGCAGTTCCTCAAGTTCAATTCCAAGCATGCACATGGCAGTGCACAATTGTCTTCAAGTCCAATCCTAGGAGATCCAACACCCACTTCTGGCCATCCTAGACACTGCACATACACGGTGCACATACATATATGCAGGCAAGACACCTATACACATAAAATAAAATGGAAAAAAAATTTTTTTTTTTTTTTTTGGTTTTTCGAGACAGAGTTTCTCTGCGTAGCTTTGCGCCTTTCCTGGAGCTCACTTGGTAGCCCAGGCTGGCCTAGAACTCATAGAGATCCGCCTGGCTCTGCCTCCCAAGTACTAGGATTAAAGGCGTGTGCCACCACCGCCCGGCTGGAAAATTTTTAAATAAAGTATTTCAGGTAAAATGAAAAGGTCCTTAACATACTCTTCAAAGCCCACACTGATTAACCCTAACCTCTGTCTCTGCTATTTCCCTCTGCCATTGAACCCAACTGGCTTCTGTGCATTTTAGGAACCCATCACCCAAACTTCCATGACTTCTGAATCTCCTCAGCCCCCCATCCCCCACCCCTCATCTAATTAACTCTTCTTTGTCACCTGTGCAAAGAAAGCATCTCTTCAAGGAAGCCTTCCTACTGCCACCTACCACATACCTCCAACCTTGGTCAAATCCCTGTTGTGCCAGGGACTTGTGCAGCTGGTGTCTCCCTCCACACAACTAGTATGTTACTATTATTCATGTTACTATTATTTATATGACCACTCTAATGTGTTTCACCCTTTGCTTGCCATACTTAACCTTGAGCTACACTCATGAGGGTATGAACCCTCTGTCTTTGTCCACTGCTGGATGACTAGCTGTCACAGAGTAGAACTCAATAAATATAGGGTGAGGGGAGGGAGGGAGGGAAG